GCTTTTGGAATTCATCGGAGCTGCGAAAACCCATTTGACGTTTGAGGCAGATGTAGCAGCAGTTTGATGACGTTCCATAGGGGAACATGGGTAATAAACATAAACATGAAGATGAATGACAGTGCCAAGTGATTCAGCTGACTATTCAACCGTCTGCAGTACAATGTCTGTGCAGGTGGTCTGCACTGACCCGTGACATTTCATCTAAATGGAACAGTAATTGTCATGTTATACAACATGTGCCGCTCTTTAGCAACAACACATTTACATAAACAAACAAAGGGCCGTTCTATAAGCCAATCACAGACAACCTGTTGCTTATATTGCCTTCTGTTTGCCTTCCTTTTTTATTTCAAAGTAGGGGTTTATCTGCTCAGAATACTTAAGCAACCTCAATCCTCCCGCCCCCCCCAAGAAAAAAAAATATTTACAGTATGTAACATCTGTAAGAATCGTTAGCGTTTTATCCTCCGATTATGAAAACCCGATATCGCAATGCCTGGGTTTTGCCAATTGATTTGTACCATAAAAGCAGTTTTTGGGGAAAAACGGCTGTAAATGAAAAAAAAGGGAAAGTCACTAGATGGCAGCATTGCAGCTCATTTTATTAATCTATTTTGTTCATCAGGGGATTGTACTGTATGTAGAACGCTAGTGCCAGGAACTTATACAATGGTTTGTACAGATTTAAAAAAAAATTTTTACCAGGTCCTTAATAGTATTTCAATTTGGAGGGGGTGTGAAAAACTGTCTGTCCCCTAGAGGGGGCATGGCAGAAAATAATTGAGAAACACTGTTTTAACCCATGACCTAAGTGAGCAGTCGACACTAAACTAAAGGTTTACAATTATATACAACAACAATAATGTTGTTTGTTAGTCTATACATATCGCCACCTATAGGACAGATAAGAGAAGGCTACGGTGACAACTGAAGACCTTTATTCATATATAAATTTAAAGAAAATATAAATCAAATCCTGCTGGTACTCAGTGTGTCACACGACTGTGTGAGCTGTAAATTTTCTACTTTCACACAAACTTAAATTACCGACAGGATGTGCTGCGTCCTCAACTCTATACTAAAAAAACACCGGTCTCTCACTCAACATATGAAAACAGAATAAAGGTTATCGTGGGTCGTTAACAACTCGATGAAAATGTTGCATGAGAGGCAGCAGAGAAGAGAAACCCGATCGGTAAAACAAGCCTTTTCTAATCGTCTCAGTTCATTTTCAAGTCATTTTAATGTGAAAACACAAATCCTGCGTCACCTGGGACGGAGCAGGATACAACGATTTGACCTCTGCCCCCCCGCTCTGTTTCCACTGATGAGTGTTATTATTACTCCACAGCACGGTCAAAAAAACATTAATATAATAAAACCCAAACATTACGACACCCTCTCGCAGAAAGGTTGGTATATTTTTAAAAACGTTATGGAAATAAAGCCGTGGTTCATATATTTGGTGAGACGTGTGTATAAAGAAGGCAGAATTAATCTGCATGTTAAGCCATATATTTCCTACTAAACGAGCACCAGGATTTTGAAAGTGAAATACTTCCTACGACTCTGTCAGGATTTTGAAAGTGAAATACTTCCTATGACTGTTCTCGGTTGCACCTATCACACTGTTCTCGGCTGCACCTATCACACTGGGGGGGTGTGGCTTATATGATACATTTTAATTGGTCTAATATACTAATCTGGAAATTCACCGACCGTACTTTTCATTTAAAATATGTACAAAATATGAACAATTTTGTCTAATTAATCAAACATTCATGACCCAACTGCAGCAGCCCAGCGGTCCACCAACAGGCCACAGACCCCGCGTTGAAGAAAAGTTATTTACTCAGAACTCTTTATATTTCAGCAGAATCATTAATTTCCTCATTTGGTGAAAATACCAAAAGTGTAGTTGTTTACAGGAGGTCAAATCCTGACCGGCCTGCGGTCCAGATCTGTCTCCTGTTTAAACATGTGGTCCGAAGTAGAAGAAAATGCAGCATCAATCTGCCCGAAAAAACGTTTAGGTAATAAAATGGTAACTGAATACAAAGAGATATTATTATTATTTTTGAAGTACTCTGGAGGTATTTTCATTCAGGTTATGTTATCGATGTAACAAATCAAATCAAGGAAGGTCAGTGGACAACGTTGTCCTTTGCCTGACAAATAAAAAGCTCAAGTGCATTACAGAAAATAAAGAGGTCGTTTTTTATTATTTATTTATATGTACCAACCTTGGTAATATTTTCAAAACCAGACATAATAAAATTTGTCTTTTACTTTTACTGACTACTTCGGTGAGCAGTGATGTAGCGGGACGTGGTATTTTATAATAAGGCCTAACAAAAAAAAACATTCCAAACGCGATAAATAAAGTCTGTCAGGTGTGGTGTTGACATTTGATATTTAAAAATGAAGCCAGAGTGACTTACATTCCTGCAGTTAAATGTTGAAACGGTCCAATCCCAGGGTTGATTTTTGATGAGGACTTTCTCCGACACGGCGGCTTCGCTGATAGGCTGAGCACCTGCAGTGAGACAAACACAGTCAACGTGTGTGTGAGTGAAGGCAGCACTCCTGTGAGGATGCACTTAAGGAGAGTGAAAGGCAAAAGCTCAGGGCACTCTTCTGCAAAAACGGCGTCTACTCTGAGAAGTGCTTTTACTTTGTTTACTTCTTACTGGACAGAAAATGTCCAAAAAAATTTTACACTTCACTCTGTAACATACAGTACATAGAAAATATGCACCGTTGGTATATGTTTATATCAACATATATGTTTTATATATGTATGTAAAATACATTTTAATTATTATTATAAGTATGAATATAATAATAATAATAATAATGTTTATTGAACCCACACTTTGTTCCATTTCTGAACAGATCTGCTGGTGAAGAAAGCAGGAAACGGTCACGTTTGGTTTTGATGTTGTTCCACTCAGACGACCAGGCTCTAATCATCCGTCTTGTTGCTGCGGTAAACGACAAAGCTGGTTAGACCCACTCCTGAGAACTGACATGTGGTTGCAGTAAAACAAAAGTCATTATTTACCCAAGCTATTCAGTGTCGCTGTTTGAATTTTACTCCTGAGAAACTAAAGTCTCCTGTGAAAGTCAACTTGTGATGTTTGCTCGGTGGTTTTTCTTTATCACCACTCAGGGATCATGTGGACACAACATTGTTTTTATGTAGGACTGTAATTAGAAGCAGATAAAATGGCTATAAACTTCAACCACCTAATTCTCCCTCTGAGGCTTCCATCTGAACTCACACTACTCTAACTTTTTTTTTTTTTTTTAAAGTCTCTCCGTCCACGTGTTTACGTTTCAGAAACAGTGTTGTTCAGCGACGGTCTTTGAGAAAAAGCAGTTTCCTTATAAAACCAAAGACGTATATATATATATATATATACCACATGACAGTAAGCAGGACGTCGAGAGGACATACATCAGAGTGGGACATACAGTACTATCACATGTGTCTGGACTGGATCAGTTTCAAACCTCATAAATAATTATTTTTACACAGGATGGTCAGAGCTCCGGTCTGTGTCTCCGGAGGTCAATGATTATTCAACGTTTTTTGGGCATGAGTTTCATCCTCGTCCTCAGATTTTTTTTACCTCCCACAGTAAAAAAAACCACAAACAGACTTGATTAACTGTTCACTTACATTAAGGCGTGGGTTAAGGCTGGGTGAGGACGTCTGTTTGTCCAGGTGTGTGGTCCTGTGAGGAGACCGCTGCACCGACCAGGATCTAGGGTCAGGTTGGGTTTGGCTTCAGCTCCTCCTCCCTCCACCCTGAGGAGAATGAAGAGCTCAGAGGTAATTAAACAACTCTGTGTCCTGTGGATGAATCTGTTTGGTCACATTTGTCACAAACCTTCACGATCCAAGTCAATAGACATTAGTCATAAACTTCTGGAAAACATGATGCGAGACGACCCAAAAACACAATTTTAAACATGATGCGAGACGACCCAAAAAAAAATTTTTTTTAAATCTTGCGACCCACCTGAGGGCCGCCACCCAGTCTTTGGGAAACAATGTTGCACATTATAAAACACAGTTCATAGTAATATTCACGTTTATAGTACTGCTGTTCTTCACAGGTTGCTGTGATGAATATTCCTCTAGCAGCAGTGCTCGTTACAATATCAAAGAACATTCATAATCTCTGATCATCTCAATCTGTTCCACTGGATGTAAATCTGACTCCGTACATATTACAGTTGTCAGCATTTCAGCCTGAGCTTTGCTGCTCAGTAATTGACATTAAGAACAAGGCTGACACATCATCCAATCAGGGCAGATTTATGAAGGTTGAAGTCAGTTTCACCGTGTGCAGGGCACGATGAAAAATAGTCTGGGCCGCGACAGACGGAGACAAATAAGGTGACCATGGGTCTTATTAAAACAGAAAGGTCTACGTGGTTCCTGCGGGAGAACCCGGCCAGAATAGATGAAATCAATGATTTCACCGCCGGCTTCTGTTTCCTAAATTTGAGACAAGGTTCAGAGGCCACTCAGCCCTCGGCTGGGGTTTTAACCAAGACTCACATAAGCCGAGCAGGATCATGGTATAAGAGAGAAGGATGCGGTGGGAACAGAGGTGTGCAGCGTAATGAGCAGTTTGGCCCTGATTTATCTGAGGAGACGGTGAGACGTCCAGAGACATAACGCTCAGCGTTTCCGAAATTCAAGAACTCTGTTTTCCATCAAACGTCACTTCTTAAAACAAGAGCCTTTCACTTCACATATATAAATACATACATATAGATAGTCCAGAGATATGTAAGAATATATACACACATATATATATATATTTATACATCTCTGTACTATCTCATAAACCAGGTTTAGTCTTCAAAGCTGTGCTGTTGAAATTTTACGTGAGGAAAACATTTCACATGTTGCAAATGAATCTGCAACACGTGAAAACTACAGTATGTTTTGGAGCCGACGTTAGCAACAACGCTAAAGACAGCAACCGGGGAACATAAAGATGGGAATGTGTGGATCATTGAAGAAGTGTTTTTTGTGTGTATATGTATACATATAAATATATATGTACATACATACATATAAATATACGTATACATATATAAATATACACATATACACACATACATAAAAATATAGATATATAAATATACATACATATATACAGTACGTACATATATGTATGTATATATGTACATATGTATACATACATATATGTATGTATACATGTGTACATATATAAATATACACATATACACACATACATAAAAATATAGATATATAAATATACATACATGTATATATGTGTATATATATAAACAAACACATACATATAAATATACGTATACATATATAAATATACATACATATATAAATATACATACATATATAAATATACATACATATATACAGTACGTACATATATGTATGTATGTATATAGAGGACAACAAGACGATACAATGTCAGACAAAATATCCTAAAATACGTAAACATTTATTGTTTAATAAAACAGACAGAGCGTTCAGTTTCAACAAAGTACAACTTGGAGACGATTCTACACAGAGTTCCTGAGTCACTGCAGTCACTGCAGTCACTGCAGTCACTCAGACACGTGTTCCCGCGGAGACTTTCTTCTCTTCCTCTTCTGTTCTTTTCTATTTCCTTCTGATTTACGCTGACGTTTCCTCCGAACAGGTGAAGGAGCGGAACTTTCCTCTCTGGAGCTGGATGTTGGATTTAGGACTGAGGTAGTCTCTCTGTTTGTTTGGGGAAAAAAAAAAGAAAAAAAAAATCAGATTATCTGGAGTTCTGTAGGAGGAGAAAAAAATACCTGCTCAAAAATGAAGAATAATGAAAAATAATGGTGGTGAACCATATTCATACCAATTAGGTTTGAAATAACATCTTTGGTCAAAGCAGAGGTTCTCAAGGTGGGGGGTGCACCCCCCCCCTTGACGGCGGAGTTATTGGAGTGAGTGACGCAGCACGGCAAATTAATTTTAATAATTGTTGTTTTTTTAATTGTGACACAGTGGGAAAATTGTACTAATACGGAATTTATTCTCTGTGTACAATGTGTAGTAAAATGATTTTTTTTATTTATTTAAATTGTTCTTTTTGTTTAAATTTTTGGGGGAGGACACAAATTTCATGCCCAAAACCTGTTTCAAATTTTGTGTATGAAAAGTATTATATATTTGAAAACGCTGTATAAATATACAATAGCAGTTTTTAGGTTGTTTTTTTTTTTCTTCCTTTAAATGATTCACCTGGAATCAAAGGAATCCTTCGACTGAACTCTAATGAAAAGCTCCTGTCTCTCCAGTTGAAAACATCTGGAGCTCGGTGTCTCTGAAGAAGACATTTTCCTCCGAGCGTTTATCTATGGCCACCTCCATATTGGTTGTTTGCATGCCAGCCCTGCAGCTACGGCGGTGTTCAGTTACAGCCTGGTTACTGAAGCACCTCTGACACAACCTGGTGGACGTCCAGGTCTGCTTCACGTGTGATGTTCAGACGTGCTGTCTAAGGAGCCCTCAAACCACCAGCTCTCCCATGTGGAACCACTTACGACCGCAGCCACTGATGTATATCAGCCGCGCTGCCGGTGACGGAGCCCTGGGTCTACGGACTCCGACTCTTTATGGCTAAGAAAAACAAAATTCCAGCGCTGGAATGTGGGTCAAATGTCCACATGGGTGAAGTGGACGGGTGAGGAGACATGAAGGTGAAGTGGGTGAGAAAAAAAACAAAACAAAACCACTCAACGGGAGACCCTTCTTTTGGGGGTCCGAGAGCCGGATCAGAACCATCACAGAGCCGTGTTGTTGTTGTTGTTGTTGTGACGTTGATGTTGTTCGTAGGTTTTCACCTCCAGAACAGAGATTTACTGAGAGAAAAACTGTATGTTTTGGCCAAAGAATTAACTCTATTTAAAGATTAAAAAAAAGCTGTGTATTTTTCCACAAACAAACACTGTTCACCTACGTGTAATTTTGGGGGTTTTATTAGTATATTTTGGTGCCTGTGACTGATCTCATAATAATTATAATATCTATTATAATTATCATCTATATATAATTATATTATATACGTTTTAATTATATAATGATTATATTATAATAATTATTATAGTAAAAAATTAAATTTACACAAGAAAAAAAATGGACATTAGAATTTCACAATAATGTGTGAACAATTACTTAAAAAAAAAAAACCCAAAAAAATTCATCTTTAAATGAGAATTCTAAGTAGAAATATTTTTCATTCAAATTAATCTTGGTTGATGATTTGGTTGAACAAGACACATAACTTCCAAACCAAAAATTCATATAATATTTATACAACATTTTTCATTTACTAAATTGACAGGTTGGTTCAAACCCTGTAGGGGGCGTAAGAAAATAACGGTAAATAAATGCCGATACATATTTCTTATCTGTAACTGTAAATCCAAAATGACTCCTAATTTATTGAGCAGCCACTAAACAACAACAACAACCAATGAGAAAGAGAAAAAAAAAATCAAAGCAGTAACTTCGTCCACACACAGACGAGTTTAGTCGATTAAAATGATCTTTCGTTGGTTTATTCGTTTGTTCTGGCGTCTGCACGATCTGCTCACGATCTGCCCTACAGGAGCTGAACATCAAGGTTTGTGACGTGTAATACCTCATGTGACCACTGTAGATCCTGTAGATTTAAACCTCTGATGTAGACGATGTCACATTTAAATGTAGCGCCCCTGGGGGTTACACTGATGATTGCGACATCTGTAAACGGCAGCGTTACTTCAGAGGTAAATCAAACAGATCGGAGCAGCTGATGTTCAAAAGTCTTATTATTTAACATTTTAGCCAAAAAGACAAGACGGTTAAATCACAGGGATCATCTGATCTCCACTCAGACAATCACTCCTCTGTTACTGTAACATTTTCCAACTGCCAGTTCAACCCACGACGTCGGTTTGAACGCAGCTCATTTATCTGGGTTTACATGCACCAAAGTACCAGCGTAATCACCGTCAGTGGGTGACAGGTTTAAACCCAGTCCCCGACGATTAAAGTAGCATCAGTGTAAGACTGGAACCCACCGAATTAGCCTCAACTGTTCGCGATTTATTTTCTTGGCCTTGACATTTTTAAAGGCCACAAACCCACGAACCGCTGCGTTAACCTCCCCCATCTGCCTCGCAGACGAACAGAGACACAGACAGAAACGCACACGTGAAGTCCTCGCTGCAACTGAAACATGTTATTTTCTCCGTAATCACACGTTTTATGTTCGTTCTGTTAAAGCAGACACTGCCATAAATCAGTGAGGACCACTGGGCACGTGTTGGACAGTTCTATAGAACTGTGGGACCCTAACTCTCCTCAGAGGCCCCAGCTGAGTACACTGGATGGTTTCAGTTTCAATTATTCACTTGGATTAATGCACATCAACATTTAGATTTTGGAACGAATTCACAACAGGAAATGCCAAACATTACATTTGGATGCAATTTTTTTTTTTAAAACGAAGAGTATGATCTCTCAAAGGAACTAATTTGTTTGTTTGTTTTTTTAGAGCAGTACCTTATTTTCTGGACTATAAGTCGCACCAGCCAAAAAATGCATTAGATTTTTTTTTACAAAATCCGAGATAAAAACAGCCATGTCATTATAAAAGGCAGGTTAAACCAGCCAAAAAATGCATTCGATTTTTTTTTTACAAAATCCAAAACAGACATGTCAACATGAAAGGCAGGTTATAATAATAACAACAGAAGAGATTTTAATATTTAAGTCGCACCTGAGTATAAGTCGCACCAACCAATGAACGAAAAAAAAGTGTGACTTATAGTCCAGAAAATACGGCAAGTGCATTTAAATTCTAATACACAAAATGTACTAGTACATACTCTTTAAAACATGTAGTGTTACTTACTTGAAGTCCGTTGAAGACTCTGGTCCAAATATGTCGGAAATAGAACTGGTGTTGGAGAGGGGGGGGAGAGAAAAAAAAACCATTAACAAGAGTTAACCTTTGACCTCTACTTCAGTTAAATTGCTGATTTCAAAAATACACACTAACGACTTGTATTACACTACATAATCGGCATACGCAGTATTTCAGTATAACATGACAAAAGTGTTTACTCTTCTACATCTGTGCCACCCAGGACTGAGCGTTAATGGCGTGTCACACACGAGGCGCTGGAAGCTACAGCAAAAGGTCAGATACATGATTTCTTTTTTTTTTTTTTCTATCTTTCTTTTCCCCCACACTATTCACTTACAAAGGATCTGTGGGTTTGTTTTTTTTTTTTCTCAGCTGGAGACTCCATTGATGTGATGTTGCCTGGGCTAACGCTTCATTAGGAGTCAGGCTGTACATCAGAGAGCTGAAGAGCTGCATGTTCTTCCTTCATGTTGTCAGGTAACCCAGGTTCACCACCTACACACCACGCAGCTATAGGATCCTTCTCCTCCGCAGGTATCGCAGTTTTTTTTTTTTTATCTAAGTGATGATAATTGAATAAGATGCTAAAAATAATTTGTATGTTTACGGGCAGGTCTGCTTTTAAATATTAACGGGGCATCGAACATTCCCACGTGGGAGACGAGTTAGTCGCGGCGAGATCATTAAGACGAACAGAGGGGCTGATGGGAGGGCTACTCCCTGAGAACACTGGAGTGAATTGGTATTCGTAGTTGTACACAGTAGCTGACACTTTACTGCTGCTCCAAATGACTTCAATTATCTTCAGGGTAGCAGAAGGGAGCGGGGTTTAATCCCAACTGTCCGAGGTCGGACGGTTGGGATTAAACGGTTCTACAGTCATTGTAAATAATCACATATGTGAAAAAAACATTTTTTAATTAAACTGTGATTTTTTTTAAAAACAAAAGGCATCAAAGTAGACCAGAAGAATTTTAAGTATTGAACTACACTGGACTACCACCAGGGGGGGAGAAGGGTAGATTTCATTTTTTTCTTGCACCTCTCACTGAACGATTGGTGAGATTAGCTGTGAAGAACTCCACAGAGTCAACGTCACCATCTTTTCTTATCACGCTTTACAACAAGAAAAAAACAAAATCTGTGTTATAACATGGCATGGCCAAACTAAGGCCCGGGGGCCGTATGCGGCCCGTTCATCTTTTTAATCCGGCCCATCAATCGTCTCCAAATTAGTATTATATTTATTGATATTATTATTCTTCTGCCTTATCCCTGCAATACTTATAATACCCCAATAGATGGCGTAGAAAATTATAAACACATTTTAGCATGTTAGCCTCTATGCATAACTTTTATGTGTCATTTTTCTTAGTTCACATGAACGCTCCATCTATCTGCTCCTGTCCCCCCCCCCGTTCAATTTTAAGACAATTGCCCCTCCTCCGCCCCCGAGTCAAAAAGTCTGTCCCCCCGCTAATACTACAAATCCCGCTAGTATATAGTGGCTGTATACTGGCAGGCTAACTCTAGTACACGTTTGATTTTATAATCTCACGGGCCACATTTAATTACATCTGGCTGTATACTGGCAGGCTAACTCTAGTACACGTTTGATATCATATCACGGGCCACATTTAATTACATCATGGACCAGATTTGGCCCCCGAGCCTGAGTTTGACACATGTGGTCTACGACTTCAGATGAATGAATAACTAGTGAAGTCCGTCATCGGTGAACAACGTTAAGCCGACCTGTTTGTAACTGGGTTTATTTCTGTTACCATCACCTGACTCCACTCCACTCCACGGTGTTCAGGCAACGGCTGCGTAGCAACGCTCCATCAAGTGTGTTTGTTTTAGTGTGACGTTCTGTGTTTGTTCAACTACTGAATTTCAGCTGATCTTTGTAGATGACAAGAACATGAGACTGTGGTAACTGTTAACAGGTTGTCTTTACACAGTACTAGTAAAACATTACTACTACCATTAAAAAACAAATGTCAATCATAATCTTTAAAGTTATTCTAATTTGACCCCTTTCCATAAAAAAAAAACCAAAATCTTACATCACCGTAAATAAAGGTTATTTCTTGCAATCCCCTGTATGTTACAAAATGTCTTTAATTTTTTTATCATTTTCTTTTTTCTTAGGCTAGAAAACACTTATTTTATCCTGAAAATTATTTTAAAATATCTTATATGCCGCAAAAACCCACGATAGAGCGAAAAACGCAATACAAGAATGCATTTTAAATATTAAAAACACAGTTTCTACCATTTAAAGAACACTTTTCTTCTGCACTCAGTCTGCTTCAGGGGAACTCTCCTCTAAATAAATAATGATCATAAACTTTTTTTCTATTTGGCGTTAATGGCCTCAAACACTTGGTTTTTAAGTCGTGTTTAACGTCGACGTACGACGTCCAGCCACGTCTACACACTATAAGAACAGGACAGTCACTGTTGATTGGACGATGCAGCGGTCATGTGGTTTCCACTCATATCTACAGGCCCGCTTACATGTTATAGTTTCCTTGGAGAAAATGTGATCATCATTCACCAAACTGACATCACGGCAAATGGGAGACGACATAGAAGCCGTCGTTACGACTTCACGATTCAGTCAGGTATATATTTTTAGCAACGTAATAAAGAGCAGATACAACAGACTAATTTCCAGGAGACGTTTATGTAGTGCCTACAGAGTAGACATTTAACAGAGGGGGGGGGGGGGGGGTCTAGGACGGCTGCGACCGGTTCTTATATACGTCCCATAATGCCTTGGGGCTACGACATTTCTGATAAACGGAAGAGATGAAAGACAGAAGAGGACTTTCATTTATCTGAAGCTGAAACGGCAACCGAAGAAGAAGAAGAATGAAACTTAACGTCTACATCAATGCTGCAGGGTTTAATTAACATTTCCTTATTTGGACAATGACAGAAAAGCCCCCCCTCGCCCCTACTGTGTTGGCCACAGGGGTTTATTCAAACAGAACAAGTGATTATTTTTGTAATACTTTGAGCCTTGAGCAATAATTACTTGTTAATTATTCATAGTAAAAAAAAAAGTCGGTTTTTATCTCAGAGAGAAACATCAACAATGACATTATTATAAAATAAAAACATAGACGTTGTCATAAGAGCAGGGGCACCAACATGGTCTGGGGGGGAGGGGCACCTGGTACCAAAGTTGACCAGGGGTAGGTTCTAAAAATAAAACTAGTCAACAAGAGGGTCAAAAATAGTACCGTTACTGCACTTTTTGAATCAGTTAGAAAGATGAATAGATCACTGTTTCCCAAAGACTGGGTCGCGACCCTCAGGGGGGTCGCAAGATCTTTTTTTTTGGGGGGGGATCATCTCGCATCATGTTTCCTGATTATTATTATCACATTGTTTTATCACATTATTTTTTTACCAACTGCCCGTGAAGTAGCTCTCAGTTTCAAAAAGGTCGGTGACCCCTGCGTTAGAGGAAGTACACACAGGATTATCTAAGACCCACCATCACCACAGGTGTTGTTGAACAGGATGTTTGTCACAGCTACACTGTGATTATTGTGATTAGTCCTACTTTTCAAAATCGTTTCCTCTTCCTGAGAAGTTCAGTTTGTTTTAAATTCATTATTCTGGTGGAGCGCTACAAATGTGTTTGTTTTTTTTTTCTATTTACTTTTCAGACTAACTGTAGAGAGCCATCCTTTCTGTGTTTGTTCAGTTTGATATTTTCTGTTAATGCGATTGAGTGGTGTTTCATCTTACAACCTGAAGCTGCAAAGTGACTTGCAAACACACGTGTTATTATTTAAAACAAACAAAAAAAAAAAAAAACAAATGAATGTTTTAAGAAGTTTGACGTCGCCGTCTCAGCGGGAACGGCGTTAGTCGAGGTTCTAATCACGCTCTTCATCACTGCAGCAGTAAAACTTTGTCGGAGCTGCTGCTGCGCGCACACACACGGAAGAGTGATTATTGGCTTTTAATTGATGAAGTTGAACCGAGCACAGCGGTGCAGCACACAACAGGACGAGAGGAAAAAAAAAAAAGAATTGATGCAGAGACGCAGTCAGGTGGAACAAACGAGGCAACTGTGGAAATGTACATTTCAGGTTGAACTGTGCACGGCAGCGCTGACCTGAGAACCTTCTCCAGAACTTCCCCTGACCTCCTGACCTCCGGGTTGTTGGGATTCTGTACATCACTCACCGTTTTTTGAGAGATGAGCTCAGAATTCGACGTACGACTGAAATGCTGATCGTTCAGTTCCTTTTTCATTTATTTTAACAAATTGTTTTTTTTTTAAACAAACGCTTCAAATAATAATCAAATAATTACTAAGCCAGATGGAAATAAAAAATAAATTAATAAAGAACTTTACGTGAGTTTCTGTTCATTAAATTCTATTAATTGTTTGTTTTTAAGATCGTGCAGAAAACCTACTTCATATTCATGAGAGTTTGGATCAACGTGTCTTTGCTTTTTACCTCTTTTTACCTCAGTAGATAAAATTAATAAAGAAAAACCGACAGCTCTTGCATTTGGTCTCATATTCCTGGAAAGGAACATAGTGTAACCTAAATACTAAAATAAATATAATTAAATATAAATATACATAATTACTTCAGAAGTTCAGAAGGAAAAAAACTAAATGTTTTGCACTGCCTAACCTCAGACTAATTTTGAGGCATGTGTAACTAAATATTTTTTAAGTCTCCAGAATAAGTGGAAAAGTCTGAGTCTGAAAGTTTGTTTATGTGATCGTAAAGTTATTAAAAATGAAACACACGTTTGTCTTTCTGTGATTAAAAAACAGCCAGATTAGTATCTGGATTCATTTGGTCTCGACCCTCGATTTAATATTAAAAAAGTGAAGTGTGTCAGAGACCAGTGAGTCAACGTCACTACCGCGAAGACGACACTGTGTTACTGACTTTCACTGCTCCAAGGTGTGTGTGTGTGTTGTCGGCGACTGACCTGCTCACAGACACCTCACTGTAGGTTGGACTCATTGACAACTTTATCCCTGCGGCAGAATACGCCTCCACCTCGTCCTGTGCCTCCATCGCTTCACTGCTCCTGGACTCTGTGACAGGTTGATAAATAAATATTTTAAGGCTGTCAGGAAAAATCAGTCAGTAAATAAAGAATCCTTAGAAGAAAAATCAAAGAAAAATCAACAGCCATGAAGAACCCGTCTTACCACAACAACGGAAAAGTTAAAGATTTTTTCTACCTTATATTTCGCAGTATGTGTGCATACATATATATGTATATGTATATATTTGACTATATATTTATATGTATATTTATATATGTATACATATACGTATGTATATATATGTATACATATATGTATATATATATATAAACTCATATACACATACATATATATACAAATACACATATATACAAATATATAATACATATATATATAAAAATATATATACAGATATATGTATATATGTATAAATACACATATATGTAAATATGTATAAATACATATATATATAAACACATATATATATATATAAATATATATACCTTTTTTTTTTTTCACTGACATATCTTTTCTGTACTAGCCAGACACACATGATCATTAGCCCGATCAACATCAGTCAATGTCATCATGATAATTCCACTTCCGGCTAAAGTACCTGTAGACTGAGGCTTTTCTTCATCCTCTCCTTCCACAGTCACTTCCTGTTTGACGCCACTTTGTCTGTTGTCGTCCAGTCGGCCACGGACCTGGGCTATAAGGCGGGAAAAGTCGCTGCTGTGCTGCTTCCCTGTCGGCAAAACAAGAAGTACGGTCACATTTAATGAGATGTTAAAAATATCATCTCAACACCCAGCATGCAATTGTGCATGGAGGCTTCAATTTCAGGTAAGACGCCCGGCTTTCATCAGACCAGCCTCACCAAGCTCACGGCAGTAAATAAGTCTACAGCTGACAGGCCGACTGACGCAATGGATTGTGATGGACTGTAGAGTGATGAGCGCTGTCGAGGACAACGTTCTTTAAAGAAACTCTCAACAATATATGTTATATATATATGTGTCAGCTTCATAGATGGACAACGGATCAAATCCTCCAACTGTATAAAGCTAAATTTTGAGTTAATATTATTAACTAATTATTAAGTTAATATTTTCTGGATATTTTTCTATATTAAAAAAATTTGTTAAAAATTAAAAATATACAGCTGATTTATCTCAACTAATCATGATTAATCGTTTTTGATTTACAATCATGATTAACTATCAGATATAAAAATTTGATCGTTTTGACATCGCCAGTTATTATACATAAATTACATTGTCATTTTAAAAAAAGTTGTGTCGTAATGTTTCGTTTCAAACAGCTACCTGTTAACAATATATAAAACTAATAACTAAAAACGACGACTTGTTCATGTTACCATAATAAACAAAAATAAACGTCACATTTCCCCTTTAAAACTATTAATGTATTCAAACAGTACAAGGACCACTTCACATAAAATGGTCCAAAATGGATAAAAAAAAGAACTCCTATAAATCAAACCTCTTAAAACAAAGACCTCTTAAAAAGCGGATCCTAAGAGGCTCAGATGAATTAGCGGAGATGAATTAGCCTCCTAGCCGGACGGTGGGGAATTAATCAAGGTCAGCCAGGTCACTTAGAAAACACAGAGGAAATGATTTGTCTCAGAAACTACTCATTTCTGGATACTCTTCGCTGTTATTCATTTTTCACCAAATCATTCATAAATACATTGGGAATAATTGACAAACTGCTTCCTCTTGCAGTCACAGTATCGCAGCGCCCGTGGCCGGGGAGTCTGTCTCTATCTCTTTCTACTCATTCACCGATTCACATGCTGCGTGAGTGAGTCATCCACATCCAACTGCAATAAATCAGGAGGTTATCACAACAGGGCGGCTCTTTATAGATCGCATCTCCTGTGGGAGACGTCGACTTCTCAGCCACTTTCAAAGTTAGCTGGGCCAGAGTTATTTATATAAAACCTCTTCATCTTCTGCATCCCTGTCAACACCACTTTTGATCATTTTATCTAATGCTGCCCTTCTCCTTTTAGCTTTGCGTCGATGAAAATGAACAACAAATAAAAACCCGGTCCAGATTATGGACCTCTGGGGGAACGATGATCAAGGAGCATGAATGAAGGAGAGTTTGTTTGGTTCTGTCCTTTCTACCATGACGATCAATGGATATTTTTATTAGTCGAACACGTTCTAAAATTGTAATAGATATTTATAGTTTATTCAACTACATGTACTGATTTAGTCTTAGATAATAACTGAGAAATCTGCTCCAAATATTAATTGTAAAACCATTCACTGTAGGTCATTTTGATCAACTAGGGGCCTGCGGACCAAATATGGGCCAACAAACCATCTAATCCGGACCGGCCTGGATTCCAGAATAAACATAATAATAATAATAAAATTAAAATAAAAACACTTACTGTACTTTGAATGCATCTCATTGATTTCCTCCTCTGTTGTATTCTTTGTAAACACCATGACCTGCGTTAAAATAGTCAAGAGAAGTTTTTAAAAAATACAGTAAAATATATATATTGTATTATATATATAAAAAATTGTTTCATTAATTTTTCAGAACGTACTGGTTTGGCTTTTGACTGCAGTTGGTTTTTGATCTTCTCGTTGGTCTCCACCTCTTTAGCAATCTCTTCAGCTGTTAAAACAGAGGATTATATTAAAGCACTTCAAGTCTTTTGTTCCTTTGGTTTACGTCAACAATTATCTCCAGTGTTGTTTACGTATTTGTAGATTAAATTTTTAAGAATTCATTCAAACCATGAAAGTACGTTCAGGCTCAGCAGCGTTTATTCGGTGTTTATTACCGTATCCTCACCTGATTTTGGGTTGAGGGAATCGCACTGAGCGTTGTAAACATGAACAAATTCCTTGTGTCGTTTGATCATCTGGTCTCGTGAACCCTGCACTGAGAGGTGACACTCCTTCAGCCTCCGCTTCAGCTCTGCCGTGGACAGCAGGTTGTAGACCAATTTGCTCATTGGACGTCTGCCTTTTCCTATTGAGCTGCAACACAGAGACAGACAGGAGTTGATCACAGCAGCAGTCAGTCTCAAGTAACTCTAATAAAACTAATAAACAGTAACCACGCCAGGGCCGGACATACAGAGGTCGCAATTTGGTTAAATATTACGAGTATTTTTTTTTTCCTTCAAGCTGAATGCAGTTTACAAAAAGCAGAGTCGTCTCTGTACAAACTGACAACATTAAGGATAATAATGTCTGCGGTTTGTCATCGTGATATCAACGTCTGCTTTAGATCACGTCGCACTGTCACTATAATAAGGACCACATTTAAATCTCACAGCTTTTAGCAACTGGGAAGAGGAAGAAGCTGAGAAGAGCAGTCGAAAATCAGGAACTTCAGCAGAAGTGGCAGATGGGAAATCTGCTGAACACACAACGCCAGCGATAACGGAAATTACATAATTGCTGGCATTCAGCCATTTTTAGCAAACTGATTTCCTCAGAAAAACAAAAAAAAATGACAGCTAATTAAGACTTTATTTTGTTTTTCAATTTAATTAACTTTATTAATCCCACATTGTGAAAATTCTTTTGTTACCAGCAGATATTCCCAGCTGAAACAGGCTGCCCCCTGGAGGCAGCAATATATATGGTTCCTCTGGGAATCGAACCCAGGACTCTCTGCTTCAAAGGCAGGTGTGCTAACTGCTAAACAACAAGACTTCAACAGTTATTTAATTATGTGATGATTCTCCCAGTGTGTCTAAAAAGGTAACTTATCTGTAGAAGAAAAAATATATATATACAAAAAATTAAAATAAATAAAATAAATTTGAAACCGTTTTGGTTTAAAAAAACAAAACAGTCTTCTGTTAATAAGAAAATAAAAACAGCCTTTCAGCATTTTACTTTTTTTTGGGTGATCCCACAGACCTGTGCCACCTACTGGACATACTGTAACACTGTCTACCAGTAGCAATAACATACTTAACAAAACCTAAAAGTATTGACGACTCTCGTTATAATTAAGGACACAATGAAATATGAGGAAAAAAAACATATAACTAGACAGTCTCGTCAGACTGATATAATATATATGATACCATGACCCAGTTAAAACTGCTCTATGTTTTTAGCAGTAACTTGATCACCTGCAGACAGCTGCTCACAGCAGTACAGGTCTGAACGCTCCTAGTGTGTCCTGAAGGCACCTCCAGATTTGACCACAGTCTGAGGTGGTTTGAGGACAAGAGCATCAGCAGTCCTGGACCCGCATGATTACAACCTGTCCTCAGGAGGACTGGAGCCTGAGCTGCGGCTTCAGCTGCTGTTGACAGAACTCACTGAGGTTTGTGGTAATGTCGCCCACATCGTCATGTTTATACTTGTTGTTGTCATTCATGAGGTTTTTTATCTCCTTCTCTACCTGTCAATCCAAACTCAGGACCCAGCTTTATGTTCAGACACATACAAAACTGCACAGAACTTCAGTTGTTTTGGTTACTTTTTTCTCTCTGTTTGGACCGGACGCCATTTTGTTAATTGTTATTAAAGTTCATTAAAGTTGCCCTGTAAAACTTCCTAACCTTCTCAGGCTCTCCTTTTTCTCTCCGCTGGACAGACACATGTCCAGATGCTTGTTGATGAACTGCTGTGACACACTGACGGAACACACAGGACACTCCACTGTGGAAGGAAACCAAACGAGACAGACAATTTGTTACAAAGACAAATGATGGTTTTGGTTCTGTAATCAAACCTCGGCCATAATGACACAGCAACTGACAACTGTCTTCATGATATGTGTCAACAATTGGAGAAAATTACTTGAATTAGCTGAAAATACAAAATGTGATTGTTTACATTATAACTAATATTCAAATAATAAAATTTCAATTTAATGTTGAATTTTGCTGGTGGTGAAAACAACACGGTTGTTAAAATCTTTTAAAACCATTCTGTAGAGCAAGGATTTTCTACAGCACCCCCTGGTGTCCATATTAATACATTCGTAGTATCACTATTTTGGGAACAGAATGTAAAAAAAAAAAAGGTATGTAAATATCCAAGCTTTACTATCATTTAAATTCAACAAATAAAGTTGATGTTGCACTGCAGGTGCAACCCTATCATTCAAATTCAACAAATAAAGTTGATGATGTTGCACTGCACTTGGCAGGTTTTTGAGCACGTTTTAATCTCAAAGATGTTGTCAAATTGTACGTTGGCTTTCTAACAGCATAACGTTTATGTTTTCTAACTAGCACGGCAATACCAGCAGTTTTAAATGGTTTACTAAAATTTAAATTTCAGATGTACTGAACCTTTAACAACAACAATTTTAAATGAATTCCAATATAAAACCCAACAAGTCCATTTGTCAAGTGTCCTCTGAATGAGTATCATCCAAACAACCACAGTACTTTGTTGTTGACGTACTGTACACTCCAAACCAGAAAAAGTTACAATGTTAATATGACCACGCTGTTAAGCAGTTCTTACAGTTTAACAGACGAACTTTACCTTTAATAACCGACTTCACATCATCTGACGGAGATGAAGTATTTGCGATCTCCATCTCTGGGGCGAGGCCCTGAGACACTGACGCTGTAGGAGTGTGGACCTGCACATCCATCGGCTCCTCCTTCACAGCTGTTGAAGTTGAAGCGTTCACTGGATGTAGGTGAGGGTCGTCTTCATCACGGGCGTGTGCGGCGTGCAGTTTTCCTCGCTTTGATCGCTGGGAGATCGATTCCTCGGCCGGTGGTCCTGATGCTTTACAGCTCCGTTGGAAATAGTGACTCAGGTTGGAGGTGTTGCCCCTTTGACTCTTCTCTCTGGGGGTTTTACATTTGAGAGTTGAAGCTGGAGTTTTTGGCGAGATGGGAGGGGAGTCAAAAGTCACTTTTGACAACTGTTGCCTTAAAAGACAAAAAGACAAAAAAAAGATGCATTTTAAAAGAAAAAAAAAGACAAAACAAAAGTGCAGCAAAAAGAGTTCAACCTGCAATGGATTTACACAGTCAAATTAAAATGTTTGCATATTGAAAAAAAAAAATAGAAATATTTAAAATGTTTGCATATTGAAAAAAAAATAGAAATATACAGTACATTTCCAATTTCCAATATATACATATATATGTACATATACACATATATATACATATATACATACATATATACACATATATACATACATATATACATACATACATACATACATACATATATACACATATATACATACATATATACATACATACATACATACATATATATATACATACATGACTATCAATGAACATGTAAAGCTACATGCGATATATTGGCGACATGTCTCCAGATGAAAAGAGTGAAAGTCGTGTGGAAACCATATTAAACCCCATATAAAAAAATAAAATGTCCTGCAGGTGCCAACAAGTACTGCAGACAGTAAAGTGAGCTCTTTGGCATTTAAATGCACCTGTTTGGTTACATTAGTGCGCTTTGAGTGAGTGAGTGAGTAAAGGAAGACTGTTTGGCTGCCGTCCGGAAATGTGGAGGGCAATTAAACCGACACGGGTCCGTTTCCAGGTAATAAAATGGAACAAATGACTTTGGTGATGTTTCATTTTTCCAAATTTAAAACATACGTGTCTAAAGTCACTACAGAGCACGTCCTTGTATGTAACACCAACACCAGCCACGTAGATTCAACAACCAATGATACGACTGTATCCCAGTCCCTTCAACCAAACTATACCACACACGATCGTATCCCTGTTTTTGGAAGTGCGTGTTTTTCCGTCCACGGTGACATCATCTAACTCCGTGACTGTATGACTTGTGGTGTGTTTTAATGTCTGCAGTGATCAGTATCCATCGCGAGCGTTTCAAGAAAGTCAGAGCAGTGAACCAGGGACAGGGTCACGGACAGCTGAGGCTCACTGACGCACATGGAGAGCAGGTTGGTCTGAGCGTTTCCACAGCTGAGACGCTGGGGCTTAAACTATGTCGGTTCCGGAAAAAAGGAGTCAGATACACAGTGATTTTGGAGTTTGTTACTTACTGGAACCATTGATGTTATGGATGATCTTCTTAAATGTCAACAACCATATCAGAAGATTCAACTTCTATGTTATTTCTGAGACTAATGTCAAATTCTAAAATCTAAACGTCCAAATATTAGGCCGATATTATCGGCCCGATATCTGTAAAAATCACTTGGACTTTGCCAAATATGGTGGAATGGCTTTAAAAATGTATTTTGTACAGACAGGAAGAACGGCTGCATATACCGGTTGATATCAGAATTGGAAATTCATAAAATGTTTGGAGAATATGGAATATCGGATAAATCCGCAAAAAGTTATTATCGGACACCGCTACCAAATATAGGTGAAATATACAACGTTAATTTTGTTTAAAGGTTGATTGAAATATCTTTCAAGCAAAAAAAAAGAAAAAAAAAAGTTAATTTTAAAAGATAATTTTGAGCCGGTAGACAAGAGGTTTCAACATCTTCATCTACCGCTGTTGCAAACAAGGGTGAAAAGGTCACCACTGCATGGAGCTGAATCACAGTCGACTCGACTCGACAACATTAATCTCTCTAGAGATTAGCTGTTTTACTACAGGGGGCAGTAGAGGGGGGTGATCATCACATAAACATTGAAACATGAACATTATTTACACAAAAGAAATTCATATAATACTTTTACAATTTAGGATCGGTCTATTACGGCATCACCTTTTATCATCTCCGTTTTAGACACTGAATGGCAGACGACAGAAAATTAAAGACAGGAAGGAGCAGCTGTTCTATCACAGAGGTGATGCCAATCTCCACCGTTTGAAAGGAGACGTTTTGCGGCGTTAATAACTTTGAGGTGATTGATGGGAGGACGAAACGTCAAACAACCTAAAAAAAAACGGCTCCGGACAGATGTCGAAGAAAACAATTCACATTTGATTCGCGGCAGTTTTTGTTTTCTTATTTGTGTGAAGGAACAAAGACCAGTGATGACGAGTCGTTCAATCAACAGTCACTGAATAGATTCATTCAGCAGAATGACGTGTTTTCAGTTCAATCATTTCCTGGGAAAACGTATCTTAGACACTGGACCACTTCAAGCGTTTTCCAAAACAGATAATGAGATAACGAGACTGGAGTAATTTACACAACCGACCAAAATAACCAGTGGTTCGTAGAAACTCCGATCTATTTCAGTCGACACCTGGTCAAACAATCCTGGACCGTGGGATGGTTGAAAACCAGGAAGTGTTTTTTTTTTCTTCTTCTGATTCATCTTAGTAATAATGAAGTGTCAACACTGAGTGACTAAAGGCCCATCTAGGAATCACCGCTGGGCATAAATACAAAACCTGCTAAATGTGAAGTACGCTAAAGTTAAGTACACTAAAAAAAAAAACCTAAAAATACATTAAACATATTTCTAAACAGTATATATATGTATGTATATATATAAAAAATACATATATACATAAATATGTATATATATACATAAATATATGTATGTATACATATACATATATGTATATATATATATATATACATGTATGTATACATACATGTATATATGTATACATGTATACATATATACATGTATGTATACATACATGTATATATATATATATATACATATATGTATGTATACATATACATATATGTATATATATATATATATATATATATACATATATGTATGTATACATATACATATATGTATATCTATATATAATATAAACAAAAACTGTTCAATTGTTTTTAAATTTGTTAATATGAAGTTAAAGTGAAAATACTATTTTTTCCTATTTGCTTAATGAGGATAATTAACCAGCTGATAATGAGTGAATACACATTTTCATCACGTGACATTTCTTTCTTTCTCTCTTTCTTTCTTTTTTTCCCCCGACTACATTACTATTGTTTCCTTAATTTCCTAAAGAGTTGCTTTGAGTTGCCTGAGGATGATCAACTACTGGCTCAGTTCTGTTAATGTGTCTGGGGGTTGTGGGGGGGGTTTGAAGTAGATTCTGACCCATAGCTAATTAACCCCTGTCACGAGGGGTCGTTTGGGCCGAGGCTGATTAACTCCTGCCCCAACACTCTTTATGTGTTCGGTGAGATTTCAGGGACAGTCTGTCTCAGAGCTAATAAACAACAACCGTCTTCACCACTAAAAACTTTGAAACCCTTGAGCCACTGGTTTCTAAACTTTTTTTTCTCCCATAGTTCCATGAGAAGAGTTTTCTACAAATCTCTTCTCATTGAATAAAAAGACAAAAATATAGTGAAATTGAAATTATTATGTGTTGCTCTGTTGTATCTTGTATCAGGTTTGGACTCCTGGGGAGGACCTGACCCCTACTTTGGGAACCACTGTTTTTTTACCAAGTGGAAGATTTGTAATAAAACAAGATATAACACAGCTGTACATTTTCATCGTCGGTATGTAGAGCGTTGGCTCACATAAAACAAGATATAACACAGCTGTACATTTTCCTCGTCGGTATGTAGAGCTCACATAAATACAAATATACAGACAGAGAGTGTCTGGGAATCGAAGATATTTCACACGCAATGAGAAACGAAATACTTCGACTTTGGTTCCTTAATGTCCATTAATGTTCGATTCCCCATCTCAAACATGAACAATCGAGTAACAAAGAAAGGTTAGACACAACTAATCATTTAGAATTGACAAAAAGACACAGCGGGATATTCCCTAACTACACCCATGTGGCCAGTGTTGGTCATAACAGGTAAATCAATATGAGGAAACATTTTCCTTCATTTTCTAAATGTCACTAGGGAAACTGCATTTCAAATATAAATTACAGTACAAAGGCATGTCCTTTTGGCCTGTTCTCAGCTGCCATCTTCATCCTGCTGTAATGAAAATATCAGCCCTGAAGCCGTTCACTGCCCAGTGTGGAAAACCCTTAAAATCTCTCAGCTGAGGAAGCATCAAAATCCCCATTTTATTTTCAGAGAATACATTTATCCAGGGCAGATTACAGGAGGATAATTACGAATTTCTGGGAAACACCGTAAACTTTCCGTTTACAAAACTGCATCTTGTCAATAAAATTAAGATTAATCTAGTGGTGGTTCATGTATTTGGCTTATATTAACACAACGACTCTACGGATGCACAGGTTCACCTTTTATTTTTTTGGGCAGAGACTTAACACAGGTTTCATCTCATTTCCTGGGCTGATATTTTTTTCCCCCAATGCTCAACAGTCAAACAGCAACACCAGCCCTGATAGAATTTAGAACACGATGCTGTTCTACCAGCATGATCAATGTGAATTACCTCGTGTACCACTAGATGGCGTCTAGGTGCAGGTGGTTAAAAAAAATGTCATCGTTTGAGAACCACTGGTTCGTGGAGTGGGTGGTTTGAACATTTGTTTTTGTTGTGTCTTCACTGGTTTAATAAGAAGACAGTGCAGCTACAGACTGTGACATTATTACATTTTCATTTTCATTTTGAGAGAATGTAAAAAGGACACATTCAGGATATTGTGTTTTGTTTTGTTTGGTAGAAAAAAAAATACTCAAGTCATATTTTAGGAATACAAATGTGCTGAGGACAATTTGAATGGATCGTTACTGATAAGAAAACATTTGTGTAGAACATGCATTGATTTTTTTTTTTTTTCATCCATGTCTATTTTCTTGTATTATTCCCAGTTATCGCAGAAAGACCTGATCCTCATCAGGCTGTTGCACGTGTAGAAATAATCAATTATACTTCTTACCTTGCAGCACGAAAACTCAAGACCAAGTCGTCCAATATACGGTTATTTCTCAGGTCATCCTCCGTGGCTCCCTATTAAATATAAGAAATTGGGAAAGAAAAAAAAATAATTAAATCAATTGTTATGCAAAGGCAGGTTCTGCAGGTTGTTAAATCATTCAGGTCAGATACTCACTGTATTGCACACTGGACACTGCAACTTGTAGGACAGAAATTTTCTGATGCATAATGAACAAACTGTGAAAGACAAAAAAAAAATCAAGATATTGAACATTTGAACTGTTTTTTTTTTATTCTGATATTTTCTTGACTCACAGCAATGGAAGTGTTCACTTTATTTAAAAGGAATGATGAAAAAAAAAAAGTGTAAAGACAAATTCCCCAAAGTCATCCATTGTAGAGGAACAACCACGCTTTGAAACTGCCTCTGTTTGAAGGCATTAAAGCTATGGAAAAAAAATGATGAAATCTCAGAACTGTCATGGCAACTTTAAGTAAGATGTGTTGCAGCGTGTTGAAAAGAAAAACTCTATGTGAAGTGAAGTCAAAAACAACTAGAAGCTGGAGAGGATGGGATGGAAAAGTAAAGGGTCGTGAACTTCTAAACGCATTTACAGACAAGTAAAAAGCAACGGCTGAAGGTGATTCTAAATGTTCACACACAAACACACACACAGACACACACCAAAGGTGCCGCAACTTCACATTCCTTTTGTTATCATGTAAGAATCAAGCTAGTTTGTTTTGTTTGTACAGAATATTAAATACTTACATAAAGTAGTTTAGCAACATCAGATTAGTTATTTTAGCTTTGTGTGTTGGTATAACTTTGTGTAACTGATGAACAGAGTTACTTAACTTCATACTCACAATTATGGGAACATTTTGTCATCATTGAAATACTGAGAAAGTCGAAGCAGATCGGACACCGGAGCAAAGTGTCAGCACCCTGTGGACGAGAAAGAGCAATGTTCTGACTAAACATGTAACCAGTGATGGACTAACATCTGAAACAAACGAAGGATTAACTCCATATAATACTACAGCTACACAGTTAGACGTGCAGCATGGGGTTTTAGCAGTTGAGCCATGTTTCATTGCACTAGTATTATTAATTTTAGCACCGAAACACAATCAGAGAAGCTCTCAAAAGAACTTGTTTACACGGCATGGTGTAACTGTATGGATGTAGCTGTGTAATATGACACAAAACGTCTTTAATTACAGACTTTTAGCATCAAGGAATGACCTTAGAACGTGCGTGTTTAGCCAACCGCCTCGCATACCTGTTCTTACGTGAACATGTAGCTACTACATTAGCAACAATGAGCGCGCGCCAGCAGAATCAGTTTCAATATAAGGGTGGCTGCTAAAGTGTTTTTTTTACCGTGAGTCTATTGTCTGATAAAACTCGGTTAAACTTACTTTCAGACACGCCAGGGCAGGTGGTAAGTCCGCTTCAACATGTGAATCCATGTCTGTTGTGTTAAACCTCGGCTGTTTGCAGAAAAATGCTAAAACTTCTGTTCGCCGACTGTTTATCCCGCTCTAGCAAACGCACTTTGTCTGTGACGTCACATGACGACTTCCGCTGAGTTTAGGTACGGATTTATTTTAGTTGTATTTTGGATTTGAATTGATATGATATATAATATATATTTATATGGATTTATATTTTTAATTTATTTTACATTAAAGTACTTTTTAAAAGTTTACCAACACTTCGCTTATACCGAGAGCGTGTTAAAAGTAAAGAAGGATTTCTAAAAATAATAAAATAAAATAAAATAAAAACAGGCCTAATTTGTTGACCACAAACGTTACACCTCTAATCATCGCTATGTTAGATTATTTTCGTTAGATTTCAAAAAACAACGATTCAACTTTGTACGTAATGACAACTAACAAAATTCACAAAAAAAGACACTTCTTAAACTTACCTCACAACACATTTTACAATCATTAAAGTTGACATTAGCTCGTAGCTTGTTCAAATTCCTGACTCAGTGAAGCAGCGGTTGGTGAAGCAAATAATTAGCTCGTAGCTTGTTCAAATTCCTGCCTCACAAATCACTGTTACCTCAGTTGGTTAATGACATGACAAAAGTTTAAAATGTATTTGACCTTAATAAGGCCTGAGATTGAATAATGATTCTGGAGGGAATATCTAGAACCTGGTGTCTATAAAGAGACTTATTTCTGATTGGTTGTGTAGCACAAAGAGCTAACGTATCCCTACTGACTGTGGCGAATACAGTCTTCAACATCAGTCATTATTGTCTCTAATAACCAACTAAAGTCTCAAAGTCTTGTTTTAATTAAACAAAGAATTAAAGGCAAATCTGAATAAAGACAGACATAATGTTGTTATTTATGTTTTACAATGTTATGCTATAGTTGTTTCCCCCAAAGATTGAGTGAAGCTAACAATGCTAGTAGGAATACCATTAGGATTTTACATAAATAACTAAAAACATTCTAGTTTATTTTTTATCGTGATTTAATGATGATTTAATATCAAATATTACTGCTGTGGTTATTTTAGTTATTTTGTAAATTTTTTAGGTCAGTTTGTTAAAGAAGTTATTTATGAAAACAAGCTAATAACTAACAATAATGGGAGAAAAAAAGTTTACTCAACTAGAAATCATTTAGTTTCGTCCTTGAAGAGGACAATAAATTAATAATAATCTCTTGTAGCAGACACTCTCACTCAGAAGGGAACATATTGGCTCACTCTTTAGTCGCCTTGAAAACTGTTCAATAACACATTATCATGCAAATGTGTGTTGGTAAGGCCATGTCACAAGTCTGCAAGAATGTGATTATTCAGCCACATGAATATCCAGAGGCATTTCGGGTGATAATTAGATTTCTCCTGGTGGTTTGGACGAAGCCAACCTCACCCTTCTGGCCAGTTAAATCATTTCACAGTGTTTCCAAAGCATTAATGACTCTCTCTGCCACCTGATCTGCACTGCGTTACAGTCAAATTTAGTGACAAAGTTTCCCCTGATAGAGGATGAGACCGCAGCTGTTTGGCTCTGTTCACCGACACCAAAATGGACACTTCTCTGTGAAAGATTGATGTCTGTTATTTTCACATGCTTTGATTGTGTTATTCCACTTTTACTGACTCTAAATTTCACCTTGGTGATTTATCTTTCGGACAAATTCAATTTATTTCGTCGTGATATCCAACAGGTTTATAACAACATTTTTGCAGTTGTTTTGACATTCCGCTTGTCTTACAGAAAAAAAACAACAACTTTGCAATTATGTCTTGATTTAATAAAAGGTTTCATGTCTCATTCAAATGTCCTTTAACGATGTTTTAACAATGTTGGTGATTTTTACCCAACAATCAAGTTTACTTTACTTAATTGTGATGTACACTGTACTTTCTTTGACCCGAGCGCGGTTTTTAAAAAGAGTACATTCACGGCTATTAAATATTCTATGAATATTTGATTGTAAGTATTACTGCAGCTGTACTGTTGTGCTGTGTACACGCTTAAAAAAAAGACCAACAGCCATTTGTTTACCATTAAATAAATGATTAATGTCGTGACGGAGAGATATCATACAGTACACTCAAAAAGAAATTCACTTTGAATTGCAAGTTTAGTTTTCCCAGTCATACGTCAGAGTTGCTATGGTAACACCCACTCATGTGTGATTGGTCAGTGTATGAACTGAATGTAAAAACTTTTTGGTTGCATCTATGCATCTTTAAAATTTCACCAAATTAAAATCTTGCAGACGGCTGCAAATTAAAGAAGCGCACAAGTGTTTTCTCGGAGGTTTGAATCCTTTCCCCCGACCATCGGAACCACAACACATTATCATGGACATTGTCTAATATTGTGGGGCCAGTGGAAAACCACATTAGTCCCTTCATTATAACCCCCCCCACTTACATTAGTCCCTTCATTATAACCCCCCCTACGTGCCCCCCACTCTCATCCAAAGCACTGACATTTTTTCTTTTTTTAACAAAGACTGTGCACGAGAACACGTATCCACCGTCACATTACAGTGACAGAGTGTCTGCTATTCAGTTGTATTGGTCTATTAAACTGATGAAGGACAGACTGTGATCCTGTTAATGGTCTGCTGTCCAGGAACATTTGCATTAATTATAGCGAATCAATAAAGCAATCAATGAGGAGAGAAATTAATAGTAGGTTTAATTACTGTAATACCACGGAAAACCACAGGTACAGTAGTCAACATCCATCTATTCACCACACTATTTACCTTCTGTTGGTCCCAAATGACAACGGGCAAAAAAACTGCGTGCAATTTCTAAACATGGACTAAAGGACTGTACCAGGCAGGGGCAAACTAAGGCCCGGGGACCGGATGTGGCCCGTTCAGCTTTGTAATCCGGCCCGCCAAACCTGTCCAAATTATACAATTAGTTTGTATTGTGATCATACTGTACTTCCTTTTCCCTGCAATGCCCACGTTTTTCCTATAGATGGCGTAGAGAATGTTGAACGCATTTTTAGCATTTTTATCCTTTTTGCATGACTTTTACATGTCATTTATCTTAGTTCATTCATTCAGCACGTCCCACTAAGTGTGTGGATAAAGATATACGTAACATGTTGTTATCCAGTATTCAGACACGTCATCTCAGCTTTTAATTACAAGGTAAAAAAAACCTGTTTTGCGCTCTAATATATGTTAATTGTAGTCTGCAATTTCCGCCATAAATTGCCAATAATCTG